CCCTACAGAGGTTCCCCAAGCCCGAGAGCCTATCCCGATCCCGAAAGAGCCCACCTCGAGCCCTACCGAGAACCCACCCCCCAAGCCCTACCGAGAACCCACCCCCCAAGCCCTACCGAGAACCCACCCCCCAAGCCCTACCGAGAACCCACCCCCCAAGCCCTACCGAGAACCCAGCCCTAATACCTACCAAGAACCCACCCCAAGCGCTACCAAGAACCCACCCGAAGCTGGACAGACACCCACCTGGAGCCCGAACAGTCACCCACCCGGAGCCCGACCAGTCAAACACCCGGAGCCCGCCAGTTTAGTAAACCGGAGCCCGCCAGTTGAGTGAACCGGAGCCCGCCAGTTGAGTGAACTGGAACCCGTCAGTTGAGTACCTGGAGCCCGCCCCGAGCCCTACCGAGAACCCACCCTGAGCCCGACCAAGAACCTACCCCGAGCCCTACAGAAGTTCCCCAAGCCCGAGAGCCTATCCCGATCCCGAAAGAGCCCACCCCGAGCCTGACCGGGAGCCAACCCCAAACCCTACCAAGAACCCACCCCCAAGCTCTATCAAGAACCCACCCCCAAGCCCTACCAAGAACCCAGCCCTAATACCTACCGAGAACCCACCCCAAGCCCTACCAAGAACCCACCCGAAGCTGGACAGACACCCACCTGGAGCCCGAACAGTCACCCACCCGGAGCCCGACCAGTCAAACACCCGGAGCCCGCCAGTTTAGTAAACCGGAGCCCGCCAGTTGAGTGAACCGGAGCCCGCCAGTTGAGTGAACTGGAACCCGTCAGTTGAGTACCTGGAGCCCGCCCCGAGCCCTACCGAGAACCCACCCTGAGCCCGACCAAGAACCTACCCCGAGCCCTACAGAGGTTCCCCAAGCCTGAGAGCCTATCCCGATCCCGAAAGAGCCCACCCCGAGCCCTACCGAGAACCCACCCCCAAGCCCTACCGAGAACCCACCCCCCAAGCCCTACCGAGAACCCACCCAAGCCCTACCGAGAACCCACCCCCCAAGCCCTACCAAAGAACCCACCCCAAGCCCTACCAAGAACCCACCCGAAGCTGGACAGACACCCACCTGGAGCCCGAACAGTCACCCACCCGGAGCCCGACCAGTCAAACACCCGGAGCCCGCCAGTTTAGTAAACCGGAGCCCGCCAGTTGAGTGAACCGGAGCCCGCCAGTTGAGTGAACTGGAACCCGTCAGTTGAGTACCTGGAGCCCGCCCCGAGCCCTACCGAGAACCCACCCAGAGCCCTACCGAGAACCCACCCTGATCCCTACAGAGAACCCACCCCTAGTCCTACCATGAAAACACCCTGAGCCCTACAGAGAACCCACCCTGGGCCCGACCAAGAACCTACCCCGAGCCCTACAGAGGTACCCCAAGCCCGAGAGCCCATCCCGAACCCGAAAGAGCCCAACCTGAGCCTGACCGGGAGCCAACCCTAAGCCCTACCAAGAACCAACCCCGAAGCCCTACCAAGAACATACCCGAAGCCGGACAGACACCCACCTGGAGCCCGAACAGTCACCCACCCGGAGCCCGACCAGTCAAACACCCGGAGCCCGCCAGTTTAATAAACCGGAGCCCGCCAGTTGAGTGAACCGGAGCCCGCCAGTTGAGTGAACTGGAACCCGTCAGTTGAGTACCTGGAGCCCGCCCCGAGCCCTACCGAGAACCCACCCCGAGCCCTACAGAGAACCCAACCCCCCCCCCCGAGCCCTACCAAGAACCCACACCCCCCCGAGCCCTACCAAGAACCCACACACCCCCCCCCCCCGAGCCCTACCAAGAACCCACACACCCCCCGAGCCCTACCAAGAACCCACACACCCCCCGAGCCCTACCAAGAACCCACACCCCCCGAGCCCTACCAAGAACCCACACCCCCCCCCCCCCGAGCCCTACCAAGAACCCACACCTCCCCGAGCCCTACCAAGAACCCACACCCCCCCGAGCCCTACCAAGAACCCACACCCCCCCGAGCCCTACCAAGAACCCACATCCCCCCGAGCCCTACCAAGAACCCACACCCCCCGAGCCCTACCAAGAACCCACACCCCCCCAAGCCCTACCAAATACCCACACCCCCCCCCCCAAGCCCTACCAAATACCCACACCCCCCCAAGCCCTACCAAGAACCCACACCCCCCCAAGCCCTACCAAGAACCCACACCCCCCCCAAGCCCTACCAAGAACCCACACCCCCCCCCAAGCCCTACCAAGAACCCACACCCCCCCCCCCCAAGTCCTACCAAGAACCCACACCCCCCCCCCCCAAGTCCTACCAAGAACCCACACCCCCCAAGCCCTACCAAGAACCCACACCCCCCCCCAAGCCCTACCAAGAACCCACACCCCCCCAAGCCCTACCAAGAACCCACACCCCCCAAGCCCTACCAAGAACCCACACCCCCCAAGCCCTACCAAGAACCCACCCGAAGCCGGACAGACACCCACCTGGAGCCCGAACAGTCACCCACCCAGAGCCCGCCAGTTGAGTACCTAAAGCCTGTCCGGAGCCCCGACCGACAACCCACCCCGGAGCCCCGACCGACAACCCACCCCGGAGCCCCGACCGACAACCCACCCCGGAGCCCCGACCGACAACCCACCCCGGAGCCCCGACCGACAACCCACCCCGGAGCCCCGACCGACAACCCACCCCGGAGCCCCGACCGACAACCCACCCCGGAGCCCCGACCGACAACCCACCCCGGAGCCCCGACCGACAACCCACCCCGGAGCCCCGACCGACAACCCACCCCGGAGCCCCGACCGACAACCCACCCCGGAGCCCCGACCGACAACCCACCCCGGAGCCCCGACCGACAACCCACCCCGGAGCCCCGACCGACAACCCACCCCGGAGCCCCGACCGACAACCCACCCCGGAGCCCCGACCGACAACCCACCCCGGAGCCCCGACCGACAACCCACCCCGGAGCCCCGACCGACAACCCACCCCGGAGCCCCGACCGACAACCCACCCCGGAGCCCCGACCGACAACCCACCCCGGAGCCCCGACCGACAACCCACCCCGGAGCCCCGACCGACAACCCACCCCGGAGCCCCGACCGACAACCCACCCCGGAGCCCCGACAGAGAACCCACTTGGGGCCCGACAGAGAACCCACTTGGGGCCCGACAGAGAACCCACTTGGGGCCCGACAGAGAACCCACTTGGGGCCCGACAGAGAACCCACTTGGGGCCCGACAGAGAACCCACTTGGGGCCCGACAGAGAACCCACTTGGGGCCCGACAGAGAACCCACTTTGAGCCCGACAGAGAACCCACTTGGAGCCCGACAGAGAACCCACCCCGCGCCAACCTTTCATGGAGAAAATTGAACACCAGGCGACAAAAATAATTGCAGAATGAAGTCTAGTTTCATACCATGAATGGTTGAGGGTCAGCGGGCTAACAACACTGCACTGTGTGTGGTGTGGGGGAAAAAAAAGTAGTTAGTAAACAGTTGATTGACAGTTGAGAGGCGGGCCGAAAGAGCAAAGCTCAACCCCCGCAAAAACACTACTAGTAAACACTGCAAACTAGGCATGCCAGGATGGATCTCACCGAAACTATTAAAATATCGACTTGAATCGACTTGAGAATGGTCCAGGACGGACCGAAATTCGTCGTCCCTTCAACTTCTAGTGTGTGGTCTGGTCAACATACTTCAGCCACGTTATTGTGACTCATCGCCTGCCTATTAAAATATTGAACAGTTTCGAAGATATGGATCCAGAGAACAACTTCAAAAGGTCAGATGGAACACAAACAAGGAACAACGGTTTCAAGTCCAACAAGCCGCAGTGTAGGACTGAAAACATAAGCTATATTTTCACCCACAGGGTTATAAACCCATGGAACCGCCTATCTGCTAAAGCAGTAAATAACATAACACGAATTGTAAAATCCAATTTGAAAAAAAATCAGAACAAATGGGGGACCTGATCTGCTACCAGAAATTTTAGCCAAATATCCCCAGTCTGCTAACTGTAGGTAGTAACTGAGTGATTGTAACCTATTCACCGCTGCCCACTGGATGGGGGGCGGTGTGCAGGACAAACAAATTGTGACACTAGCTCTCCACATATGTCAGGTGCTTAATTTAGAACCTGTACTTGTGGTCGATCTCGAACCCATTGTTGATGTGACGACTTATATTGAATTTTGTAACTAGCTCATCAAAATTGTAACTTGCTTAGCTAATGAATTGTGGGGTTCAGTCCCTGAGCCCATTATGTGCCTCTGTAACCCTTTCCACTACCGTCCAGCAGAGGTGCAACAGGTACTCAGAGAACTCCATCAACATATCAGAGGTCCGAGACTGTTCAACACGCTTCCACTACACATAAGGGGCATAATTGGCAATCCCCTCAGTGTTCAAGAGAGAAATGGATAAGCGCCTCAAAATGATACCTGATCAACCAGGCTGTGACTCGTACGTCAGGCTACGAGCAGCCTGGTTGATCAGTCCAGCAACCAGGAGGCCTGGTCGACGACCGGGCCGCGGGGACGCTAAACCCCGGAAGCACCTCCAAGGTAGCCCACAAGATGGGTATGGGGTGCATAATAAACGAACTAAACTAACATTAAGCAGTCTCCGTGGTGTAGTGGTAAGACACTCGCCTGGCGTTCCGCGAGCGCTATGTCATGGGTTCGTATCCTGGCCGGGGAGGATTTACTGGGCGCAATTCCTTAACTGTAGCCTCTGTTTAACGCAACAGTAAAATGTGTACGTGGATGAAAAAACGATTCTTCGCGGCAGGGGATCGTATTCCAGGGACCTGCCCGAAACGCTACGCGTACTAGTGGCTGTACAAGAATGTAACAACTCTTGTATATATCTCAAAAAAAAAAAAAAAAACATTGTTAGGCATTGTTCGAAGCAAACTTCATAACGCGAAACCCCATTATATTATATAATTCTATATAATGGGTATATATAAGATATAAATATGTCAAAAAGAATTATCACTCTTACCTGGAGCAATGTTGCTGATGTCGGAAATCAGCGATACATGTTGTCGCGTTGGCGGCATCGACAGTACTGAGCGCCTGAGCGTTCAACGACCAACCGCCGTTTGAACGCCATTTTGAAATTCCAGGCGTACTACCCGAAAAGTGCGTAAACTAGTATTTGCGTGCATTAGAGGCCATTCCAAGAAACCTTATTGCTATGAATATCTTGTTATCTAACAAACGAATTATTTATGTTAATATTTTTAGCATATATGTTAAATTAGGCCATTTTTCATTCAGAGGGGGTATATATATATAGCTATTTACATTTTAAGTTTGAAAAATTATCGTACAAAATTGAATGCAAAGATAAGATAAGATTTATTTATACAACCCTGTTTGGAAATTAACTCCTTTTACAATGAAATAAGACGCAAATAAGAACCTCAATTGTATAGTGAAATTTATGCATTTTGTTTTGATTAAAAGCTTAGGTAGTACAATGTACTACTTCTACTACTAATACCATATTATATATGAGGGGCTACTAAATAAAATTAAAGCACAAGCATGTTCACCTAATATCATTTGCTGACAGGTGAAATAATATGAAAGTCGGAAACTATTTAATTCTCTCCTAGAATTTCTACTAATCCTTTCTTCGTCGAGACCAATATATGTCAGTTACCCCTAAGATAAATTTCATTTGCAGAAATCAAATTATTCAAATTATACTTGACGGCGGGGGGTAGCCAGTGTGTCGGGTTGTGCTTGGTAAGCTTTGCTTCCTGGGCAAAACGTTTGGCGATACTGGTGGACGTATCTTCAATATAGTATCTTGTACTTGAAAGACGTAACTATGTAGGGAAGAGCAGGCTCAATATCTCTCTTGAAAGAGATTATCGTCACAATATATATATATATATATATATATATATATATATATATATATATATATATATATATATATATATATATATATATATATATATATATTATATAACCACACTCTCGCGGAAATTTCCACAATATGTATTTTATTTTATATAAAACAACAAAATCACTGGTTTTATTTATAATGCGAGGCACGAGGATAGTGTAGTGAAAGGGAACCCCGACTACTGGAGTCAGCCTAGGAGAAAGAGGGAGCAGCGAGCGAGGCGCTAATAGCAACAGTTGACAAAAACCGACCTGTTTCAAGGTCACCCGCCACTCTCATGCCTCCACACATACACACCGCTCTATTTACACATATTTATACGCTCATACTGACTTTAGAATTTGTTTGTTTAGCAGATTGTTGTCAAATATCTAATGCATAACTTTATTTGTGATCAAAAAATTATGGTGTAGTATGCATATTGTCAATAATTAATATGACCAGTCAGAAAAGTGGCACCTCCATTAGGCTTGTCGATCACAGACAACTGTTATTGTATCATTATTTTAATTTGCTAACTTTAAAATATATATATATATATAACTCATCCAAGAGATAACCTTTAATATATTTATAATATAACTTGGTATATTAGACAAATTTCCCATCCTTGGTATTTTCCTTTTAGCAATATTGGAAAATAAAATCATGTTTTGAGGATTCGTACCCGGCGGGCATGGATACAGATGACTCGTACAGTAGACAGTTTACCTAAGGATTTTAAAAAACAAAATCTACCCCAGCATAAAGTACCCCCATAATATATATTAAATATTTTAAAATCACGTAGCAAACTATGCGTGTAAAGGAGTTACAAAATGAGATATATTTAAAAGATGTTTGTTGATAGTACGAAACGAGGAGAGGCAGAGGGTGGTGTACGAATGAGGAGAGCATAGCAGCTGTGCCCCGAGCGGTTTGTGAAGTCCAGCACCCGGCTCCTGCCACGGTTTCTTGTCACGCCCTCGTCACGCCCTTGTTTCTGTGCTGCTGGTGAGGTGAGGCACCTGTGTGTGTTAGGTAAGGTGCCCCGAGACACAGACCGTGTGACATGCCTCAGTGATCACTCACCATGTTGCTGTGTTAGAGCTGCTGCTGCTAGCTATGTACTCACCTATTGGTGTGTGTGGAGGGTTGTTCTTGGCATATCGTAACTGGTTGAGGTATATAGAGGTTGCCAAGTATATTTTTATGCTAAGCTCTTATACATATTAGTTTGTCAATTAATGTAAATTCGTTTTAACAGAATGGCTGAAGACGCTGGAGCAACTGTGTTGTCTGGGAAGGAGGTGGCTCAGTAAGTTCCTCTTTACTTCTCGAATATTGTTGTAAATTACATTGACATATATTATTTTCTCATTCCGAGGGATTATAACTTGTAGTCGGGTTGATCTCCCAAAGGTACGTAAATGTGCCGTTGTTGTTTCTCCTGGTCCAGGTTGTTAATGATAGTGCCAGGTCAGCGGCGTTCCAGCCCGTCCTCCTAAAATTAAAGTATTTATATTAACTTTGTGGTCCAAAGTACAAATATGTCGTGATGGACCACCCGAATAGTAGTACAGTATTTTGTATTTCTGTGTTACTGTATATTTGGACAAACCCTATAATATTTCATTTGTTGCTTATAAGACCTGGCCTTGCCATCCTAGCTAGGCTTGACACATGCTCTCTATGAGGCCTATTGTAGTGTATATATGTGCTATACTAGGTCTAGTAATATTTAACTTTGGTTTAGACTTATTTTATCTAGATTATAAAAATAGTACAAAAAGTGGTATATTGGGGCTCCATATATACATATTGAGACAATTGACCACATAGTTGCAAAAGTGCTATAATTTCAGGAGGATGGGTTGTTGCATTGTCATAAATGTATTTTGTTCATAGTGTTTATCTGGCCTTATCACCAAATTTAGTTAAATTAGTTTATTTTATATTGGAGCCATAACTACCTGTACCACCTAAATTGGTGGACAGGCTGGTCACACAGACACACACACGTACTGTATTTATATATAATGGGTTCAAAAGCCTGATCCCCCTAATGCCCATCTCGGCTTCTAAATTACATGCCTTCCACAGGGATGTCCGGAACAAGTTAAAACAGCAAGTGGAGACTCTCCGACAAGAGCTTCCAGGGTTTGCTCCTGGATTGGCAATTGTGCAGGTGGGCATTTAGGCTTTTGTTAATTAATATCCTCAATAATATTTAAAGAATTTAGATACTTTACTTCAATTCTTTTGCCGTTTCATTAAAAGGCAGTCGGTTCTTGAACCAACTGTTTTGATGGCCTAGTTAATGGCCTAGTCTTCCTGTCATACAAAGTGAGAGTGCCTCATATTCTATCTTCTACTGTCCTTCTGTGCCATTAGTATTACCTGTAATTGGGACTGTGTTGTTGGGGATATTTTGTGCTGGACAGGCTAACTGGATCAAATAGACTAGCAGTTAAAAAAATAGGTGACTGTAGTTTGGTGCAGTATTGTGTAGCAAAGCTATGGTATATAAATATAAATTAGATGCATGTTTTTTAAAGTATACAACTGTATCAGATCTATTACTGGCATAAGAATAATAATAATACAGTAATAATATTAATTTATCCAGAATTCATTTAAAACATGGTAGGGTATTCATAAATACACAATGTAAATAGTACTTTAAATGGTACTACAGTGTTAGTAAATGTTACTACAGTATTAGGAAAGGGCGAAGGGCCCAATCAGTTAAAGAAATATTGTACAGTAGTTTTTTCCTAAATAAAGTGGGCCTAGTTTTGCATTGTACTCACCTGGGTGCTGATACTAGATGTGTAATGAAATGTGAGAAAAGTGTTTGCAATATTGTGGTTTATCACATTATCATTTAATGAGTATTGGTCATTCAGTGAGCATAATTACATGTAACTGTAGTTACAGAAGTTATTATTGTGTATTATTCCAGGTTGGGGGTCGTGAAGACAGTAATGTCTATATCCGGATGAAAGTAAAGGCTGCTGAAGAAATTGGAATAAAAGCACAGCACATCAAATTTCCCCGTACTATTACCCAGTCACAGGTGAGGACCTCTGTCATGGTTGCTATATGGAAGGAAAGCATTGCAAATTGTTGATGCCTACAAAGATTGGAGTTTATCAATGACCTCCGATAATTTAATGCTGTAAGCTTAGCGTTCACTAACAAGTTAGTTTAATAAGGCTATGGTAATTGATTATAATGAGAACATTGAGTATAATGCTTACATACACAAGTAGCTTTAACTGTGCTTTCCTGTTTATACAGGGAGTAAGATCTAGTGTGGCTCAATAGCCTTGCATCATAGCTATTGTACCTAGTGTCATTTATACCCCCCAATAGTTTAACTCGTTTGCTATTAAAGCCATAAATTGAGGTTACATCAGCAACATTTCCTTCAAGCTATACATTATACAGAACATGCTATATATAGTATTATTCAGTATATTACTGCACTTATACAACTCAAAGGCAATCCAAGATGGTTATTAACTTTTTTAAAGATCACATTTGGCTAGCTCATTAGTTCTGTCAAGCATTCAGAGGCCAATATGGGATGGGATTCATAGGTAACAGACTCTTGACTCCTGTCTGAATTTGTCTCTTATGGATCCTATCCCATATTGGCCTCTGTTCACTAGTTAATTCATTGGAGTAATTTACATACTGGTAGTTTGGTGTGACAGTTTGGTATTATAAAATCACTGAGGATTTGGTAAATGAAAATAAGGACCTAATTAGTTAGAATTGTATATACATTCACTGGTACAAGTATATAGAAGATAAGAAACCTATCATGAAGAGAGATTAAGAAAACTTAAATTTATATTCTCTATAGAAGCAAAGAGTAAAGGGGTACATTATTGAAGTTCTGTATACCAATGGGGGGGGGATGTATATGAATGAGTTTAGTTTTGAATAAATAGCTGCCTAATATAAACCAATTAGCCTGCAGTTTCCTTTCTTATAACCTAACATTGTTTACAGGCAATTCATAAATGTTGCTTTTGTTCATTCAGCTTGTTCAAGAGGTGAAGAAGCTTAACAATGATCCCACTATCCATGGAATAATTGTCCAAATGCCGTTGGACTCTGAAAAGGATATAGATTCAGATTTGGTGCTGGACACCGTCTCGCCAGACAAAGATGTCGATGGGTAAGGAAAGCATTTTCTATGGCCGTTTAGTAGTTTTAAACTGTTAAATGATGAATCGAGATTGGATGAGATTAGTTTATTTTATTTTTGTTTGCAATGTTTATTTTTGTCTGCAAGCTGCTGCATCATTGATAAGTATCTGATGTTGACATTTAATGCAGCTGTATCTAGTCTGAGTGTAGCAAATTTACCAAAAACTGAGATTTAACAAAAACTAAATGGGAAGAGAGTAGTAATACAGTTGCTGCCAAAGTCCCTTAATTGAGAATTTGCACTGGAACATTAAAACATATTGTTCAAAGGTTTCTTGGTTATTTTTTTTAATATAGATTATTTTATAATTTTACAGAATATTAAAAGTAAATGTGACAACTGTATTGTGAAGTGTATCATAACTTTATTTGAAGTTAGTCTCTGTAACTAACAGAGAATACTTATCATTTATTTATCATTTAAGTAACTAAAAATAGTTTTAAGTTATTTAAATGATTACTGTACAGTATTGTACGGTACAAATAAATTTTGCACATGCACAGGTTTAATAAGAATATTCTTTTTAACAATGTTATAGTATCTTGCATCTTTGAATGTTCAATTTTGTAGTATACAATGCTAGAAGCAGCTTGTATAATTACAGAAGTATGGGAACCATGAGGTCATTAACATAGTCTAGTTTTGCTTTCCCATCATTCATTAATCTGTTTGCAATTCTCCAAATATCTTACTATTTGTCACTACAGTATTTACAAAATTACTAAGTGGTATTTAAGTGTAAGGAATAAAGATCATACTAGTAGACATTTAGCAACTTTTTATTTCTAGACTGACAACGGCAAGTGCAGGACGTCTGTCCCATGGGATGCTCAACAGTGGCTTCATGCCTTGCACTCCAAATGGATGCATGGAACTCATCCGCAGGCGAGTCATAATTTACCGTAATTTCCATATTTACTTTGATTATGCATTCATGTTTCCCCATTTCTCTAAAAGTATTAAAATTCTGTTGGGTTGGTATAATATATAAAGTTTGTCAGCTCTGCAGAGACTTAGTTTTGCTCTGCTTTTTGCACATAAATTAAGGCAGAGCAAAATTAACAATGGTAGTACACAATATGTATTGTAATGAACTATTAAATGCAGTTTATAATATAATTTTTAATGTTGGCAGATTTTGCTAGTAATACTTGCTGTAATCAACTACTGTACATGAAACAACCCATCGGATTTTCTTCCTATTGGGGAGTGTTGTACATGCTGCTATGGTGTGTGTCCACTCACAGGATGAGTGGCGCTGCCCAATAAACTCGCCCCTCGGGGCAAAATTACATTTTTTTTTTTTTTATGAAACTATTACTGTTGATATATATATTTTTTGCCTGTATTGTGGTAATAGTTTCCAAATGTAAGACAGATGTAAAAAGAGTGAAATTTTTACTTTCAAGACAATGATGATATTTAAGATAAACTTAAAGGTTGAAGCATAAATACTTTGCAGTGCAATGGTATTATGGTGCTTAGTTGGCATCAAAGGATAATATTAGTTAATGCTTGAATGGGATAAGCAAAAGTGAGAAGTAAATTTTTGGAATGTTTAAATATTGTTTTAAAACCTTCATTAAACAGATCAGGAGCCAAGATACAAGGAGCAACTGCAGTTGTATTGGGCCGCAGTAAAATTGTTGGTACACCAATGGCAGAGCTGTTAAAATGGCACCATGCGACTGTCACTACCTGCCACTCCCGTACTGCTGACCTTCCTGCTGTGGTTAGTGTCCTGTCATATGGCATCTTGAAGTGTGTTCATTAATTATTCTCAATCTAAAATTTTGGATTATCAGCACATTAGTAACGGTTAATTTTAGCACAGTTGAATTAGCGAGTATTGTAAGTTCGTGGATATCTAAATGCAGTTGGAGTGTTTTTTGTCATGTAAAAGCAAGAGGAAACTTTTAGGTGATATTGGGCAGAGCATGTATATAGCAATTTTACCAGTCCCTTGACATGTGCTTTGTATTTGATTTTGACCTTAGAAATTCATATACAGTACAATTTTGCTTGACCTTGCCACTACCTTCTCATCATCTGACACTGTCTTATTTGGCTTTTTGGAGCAGTGCACATATTGTTGAATGCCTGGAAGACATTATAAGAATACTGTATTGTACTTTAATAACCTACAGCAAACAGTCTATTTGAAAGGTAAAATGGTCCTGTGTTCACTAATCTTGGTTAAAACGGTGCCTAATTTTGCTATGATTGACTAGTGGCACCCGTCCTCATGATATTTTTGTCATTGTCAATGACTTCAAAACAGTATGCTATCTTTACCTACCACCTGTCTATTCCTACCCCCTGTCTATTCCTACCCCACCTAACTTGCAGTCTACTCCCTGCCCAACCCACTATCTGCAGCCTGCCTGACAGGGGCCTGACAGCTAAGTGGACAGTGCCTGGGATTCGTAGTCTTAAGGTTCCAGGTTTGATCCCTGGTGGAGGCGGAACAAATGGGCAGAGTTTCTTTCACCCCTGATGCCCCTGTTCACCTAGCAGTAAATAGGTATTTGGAAGTTGGACAGCTGCTACGGGCTGCTTCCTGGGGGTATATAACAAAAAGGAGGCCTAGTCGAGGACTGGGTCGTAGGGACGCTAAGCCCTGAAATCATCTCAAGATAACCTCCCAGCCTTCTTGAACCACTACCTAGACTGTATAGGAGTGAAGTATTAAATCCTTCCACATGGAACCAAAAGTAGACAGAGTTGTAGGTACAGTACAGTGTACCAAATATAATAAAGTAATAAACCAAAACGTTGTAAATGTAATGAGTTCTATTTAATAAGGTCCATAGAAAATATGCTAGATTCTTGAAAAACAACCATGCTATAAATGGATAGCATGATAGCATATAAATGGATATAAATGTCTTGTGAAGTCATTGCTCAACAGTACCTGCACTTGACAAATTTGGTCTATGATGACTAGACAGTACAGTTTTTTAATTTATAACTTTAGTCAAACAGAACTGTTAGTTTTTGTTACAAATACCATGGCAGATTTTTGGAGGCATTTGCTGCTGTATACTCTAGTTTCAGTGAAATGTTTATGGTTTATTCTGAAATTACACAAGCACTTTTTGTGAAATTATGGAGCTCAAAATTCTGGTTCTATAATGGCACAATTTCTTTTAGACAGCGACTGCTGATATTTTGGTGGTGGGAATTGGTCGACCAGAATTTGTGAAAGGATCTTGGATAAAGCCTGGAGCTGTGGTGATTGACTGTGGAATTAATTCTATTCCTGGTAAGTTTATAGCAGTTAGTCATTATATTTTAATGTTATTCCTTTGTAACACTTGAATACGTATGTTACTGTCAAATTGTTACATGGAAACCATAGTATTTTTTAATTATCAAGATTAAGATAATAAGGTAATAAACTTTTATTCAGATTCAACTAAGAAGTCTGGATCTCGACTAGTTGGAGATGTGGCATATGAAGAAGCTATGAAGGTAATGTCTTTGCTGCAAAAATTTCATTTTTTCAACCCAAATACAATCATTTGCATATGCTCTTCTCAGTCTGTAATTTTATTAGTGTTTTCCCACATGATTTTTTTTCTATAAGATTACCAAGCTCTTTGGCAGCCCTTGAAGCTTTTGAAATGATAAAATGTTTAAATATTATTTTGCCTATTTTCACACTTTTAAGTATACAGGTACAAAAAATGGTTGGCTCTTTTGAAATTTTCTATCTACCGAAGATGTTAATGTGAAGCTCTTGATTATTTGTAGGTGGCATCAGTAATCACACCAGTGCCTGGAGGTGTGGGCCCTATGACTGTAGCTATGCTGATGCAAAACACTGTTATCTCAGCTCAGAAGGCAGCTTCTCAGATGCAAGCGTCCAAGTGGAAGATTGAATATTTACCACTGGAAATCCTTGAAAAAGTTCCAAGGTTAGTACATACAAGTAATATTGCAACAATAAACATTTATTGTGAACACATTACTGACACATGTATCACAGTTCCATGGAACATTATGAATGTTCTACTGTATACATATTGTAAAGGACACAAATATGCATCACATATGATAAAAAAAAATAAAACCGCATTGGAAATACATAGAACAAATAATTGAAAATATATTTGTGGCAACACCCGGTGCTTGAATGGCCTGCGCGACCATGTATGGGCGATTCACAGACATGTTCAGGGAAGGGAATTTATCATTTTACAAAGAAAAAAGAATTTTTTGGGAACACTTTTATTTCATGCGCACGGGGAATTTCACAATAAACTCGACGCAGCACGGTGGTTAAACAATGTGTCTCACTAAAATCATAAAATTCCATTTCTGTAACAAGTGCTTGTATCTTTTATTACATTAAAGGATGCAAGTTAATTTCTGTACTCAAGTTGTAATTTTATTTTCCAGCGACATTGAAGTGGCTCGAGCTCAGACACCTAAGGATGTTGCAGAACTTGCCGAGGAAATTGGACTACTAAGTTCAGAAGTAAATCTTTATGGAAAAAAGAAAGCCAAGGTGTCATTGTCAGTTTTACAACGCCTTGCATCTCAGAAAGATGGAAGATATGTTGTAGTGGCTGGGTAAGTGTTCATGAGAGATTAGAGGATTGTGTTTGTGTTGAACCCAGCATATCATATTTTGATCACAAGTGAATAGTATACTGTACAGTACATGCAATAAAAACATTTTGTTTTTACATTTTTCACTTGGCCCCCTAGAATAACCCCAACTCCATTGGGTGAAGGGAAAAGCACTACCACTGTGGGTTTGTCACAAGCACTAGGGGCCCATCTGAAGAGAAATGTATTTGCTTGTGTACGACAACCATCACAAGGGCCTACATTTGGCATAAAGGGTCAGTAAACTGATTCGTAAACATGTTTTTGGGATTTCTGCATGCTTCGTCACTAGTTGATTGTCTTTTGGGAAATACCTTCCTTTAAATATTTAATTTTGTATTTCTTACAAGAAGTAACCATTATTAACTTTTACTGTTCTTTCTATTTCTTGACTAAATAATACTTACTATATTTACAAATTTTGCATTGGTAATGCTTATTTTCTTAAAGACTTATAAAACAGTTTCACTCGTCAGTACTATACTAATACAGTATTTGCAACTCCTCCTCACTTGAAGTAATATTTTTGCTAATAATTAATCTTTATAAAAATATTTACTGAAGTTTCATGTGGCTGAAATGTGGCTTCTACAGTGTCAAAACTTGTCAGCTATGTAAATATTGGTTCTTATACCAGTATTTCATGTAAATATAAAGCTTTTAGCTATGCACGAATGCAGTACAGTTCATAATTTTTGCCAAGGTTGGACCATACTAAATTCATTAGCGACATGTAGACTTGCTTAAATCATTATCATGCGTTCTACTTTCCTAGTGGGGAAGCATCAACCTGGTGAAGGAAAATGACAATGAAAATACATATTACAAACATTTGACTCTGCATCTCATCACGCACACTACACTAGAACATCACGGGTAAACAAGCACCACCATGCACTCGGCTCTCTTTCATCTCACGTGAACTTCATTACGTATTGTGCTTCTCACGAGTTGTCATGTACAATAAAAATACACAAATGTAGTCCTGCCTTGATAATTGCTTGTACCCTGCTTGGTCCCATTAATAATCCATGTATTATTCACACTATCACAATTACTTGCTCACCATGTCGGCCAGCCTCATACTGGCCTCTCTTCTCTTGCTTCTTAATTCACACTTGCCTAACACATTTGAAGGTCTACCATCACTCCTTTGCTCAGTATATTTGAACCATCTGGACATGTTCATTATTTTAATAACTTGTGCAGTGTATTGTTACTATACTGTATTTTATTGTTCTATTCTCCCAAACGCTACAGTTGCTTTTCATGGTCATACCATACTGATCCTGTGCACACACATAGGGACACAAGCATTGGCATTATTACTGCTTCTTAAATTTATCTTGCTCTGTCTTTTGTGCCTCAATTATAACTTCAACAATTTTCCCAAGCATTAAATTGATCAACCACTTCTAGCACATCACAATTTACATTAATTTTGTACTATAGAATTTCCTTCTCCCCCATTACTATACTTTAATTTTGTCCACTCACTTTGATTAGTTCTCTAACAAATAAAATTCTAATTTTTTTTACATAAATATTTTACCGTGACCTTCATAAGATCAAAATTGGAATATGCAGCGGTTGTATGGTGCCCGTATCACAAGAAGCACATCTGAAAACTGGAAAATGTGTAAAGACTTGCAACTAAATGGCTTCTGGAACTGAAAAACAAGAGCTATGGATTGAAGTTAAAGATGCTAAATATATCAGAGCTAGAAGATAGAAGAAAGAGAGGTGATAGGATCACTACATAGAAAATAGTAACAGCAATTAACAAAATTGACAGGAATTTTTGCATCTTCAAGAACAAGAGGTCATAGACACAAGCTAAGGAAACAAAGCTGCTGAAAAAACATAAGAGTTTTATTTGGCAGAGTAGTAGACATTTGGAACAAGTTAAATGAGAAGGTGGTGGATGTCAAAACTGTTAATGTTTTGTGTTTTGAAACCTGTAGTTTCAAAACTTCAAATGACAGTATTTGGAAGACAGGACACCATGAGGTTAGTTCATCCTGTAACGGCACTTAGGTAATTACACTAGCTTTACACCATTCTTATTTCCTTGGCTTAATCTTCCCATAGCCTTCATGCATTGTGAATGACCTGGGTAATGTGTAAACTCTGAATGCAAATGAGTTAATTCTTAAGGAATATCTAAGAATTGATATAAATGTTGGCTCCTAAACAGGTGGTGCAGCAGGTGGAGGATATTCACAGGTAATCCCCATGGATGAGTTTAACCTACACCTTACTGGGGATATCCATGCCATCACAGCAGCGCACAACCTATTAGCTGCCCAGATTGATGCCAGAATGTTCCACGAGTCTACCCAAAGTGATCAAGGCTTGTATAGCAGACTGGTTCCAACAATTAAAGGTGTTCGTCAGTTCTCGCCCATCCAGGTTTGTTGCGCTCTCATTTGAGGGGAATGGTTATAATAAGATTATCTGTGAATGTGGATTTTATGTGCTTTCTATTAATAAATAATTTAAACTTTCAAATAACAGTTGAATCGCTTGAAGAAACTAGGCATTGTGGAATCAGATCCTGACAAGTTGAGTGAAGAGGAGATTAGCAAGTTTGTTCGTTTAAATATTGATCCATCTACCATCACTTGGCAACGAGGTTAGTTTAAAATTGTTTGAGGCTGTATTGCTTAATAAGTATTCTATGAGTTTTCTAATTTAGTACTCTGCATGTCTTAAATTAAGATTGTTCTTAAATTGTCATGTTTATGGCTGTTGTATTTGGAAGGTAATTAACCAATTTCAGAAATATTAGGAATATAATGCTAATAAATTTTGAAATTGATGCATTCAAGTTATGGATACAAACGACCGATTCCTACGAAAGATAACTATTGGCCAGAGCCCCACAGAAAAGGGCCAAACCAGAGAATGCCAATTTGACCTTACAGTGGCAAGTGAGATCATGGCTATCTTGGCTTTGACAACCTCTTTGGCAGACATGAGGGAACGATTGGGAAAAATGGTGGTTGCCTCGGATAAGTCTGGCAATCCTGTTACTGCCGAGGATCTAGTGAGTAGCCACACATGATTGTCTTTTAGTAAAATTGTGATACAGTATTGTCTTAAAAAAAAATATATGGTATATGCATTGTAGTACTGTAGTATGCTCTGCTTTTTAGTACACATTTTGATATTTTGTATTTTGCTTTTTAATTCATATTTTTTCACTATCAAGGGTTTTTCTTTCTAGGGGGCAAGTGGTGCACTGACTGTACTCATGAAAGATGCCATTGAGCCAAACCTGATGCAGACCTTGGAGGGCACACCAGTCTTTGTACATGCTGGACCATTTGCCAACATTGCTCATGGAAATTCCTCCATCTTGGCTGATAAAATTGCCCTCAAGGTAATTTTGTGGGTCATTAATGAGATTGTTTTATGATGTATATGCTAAATAATTATAATAACTATTGTTCTTCTGGTGTAAATACTATAATGTCTAACATAGTTGATCACTTTAATCATAACAGTTGGTTGGTGAAGAAGGATTTGTGGTGACAGAAGCTGGATTTGGCGCTGATATTGGAATGGAAAAATTCTTCAACATTAAGTGCCGATACTCTGGCTTGGTGCCTAATGCAGTGGTTCTGGTGGCCACAGTTCGTGCTCTCAAGATGCATGGTGGTGGGCGCGCTGTTGTACCTGGTGTTCCTCTTCCATCTGATTACACTGAAGTAAGTCCTGTTATGTAGACTAAGCTTTTAAAATAATTTTAGAGAGGGAGTAAAGATACACTCCATTGCCCATGTACTGTACAGGATCAATGAGATTCTAAAAATACAAGAATATGATCCTTTAGTAAGGATCAACATTTCCCTACCAGTAATTTGCCAATTAAGTAGGCCACCGAAATGAACTTAAACCTTTTGCAAACTGCTCCCATCCTACTTCTGTTCCAGATGTGGAAACGTGTAGTATAACTGGGATCCCATACTAGTATATATGAAGGTTGTTTCCCGCCTCATCTTGAATATACTGTACTGTAAATAAAGTACCCAAAATATAAATGAATAGTGTATCAAGAATGCTAAATTTCTTTCAGCATGCCCATAATTGTTGCCATTTTTGTTTTCATATATCTAATAAATCAAATTATTTTGACTTGGTAATATTAAAATGTTAATTATCATTCAAAGGTCTAGGGAAGCATTTATTATTACCCTTTCTTATACTTTTTCAAAAGTGAGTAATTTGTTTCCCCCTTGTGTTTTTGTCATCTACAGGAAAACCTAAGTTTGGTTGAAGGTGGTTTTAGCAACTTGAAGAAACAGATTGAGAATGGCAAAATATTTGGTGTTCCAGTTGTGGTTGCTATAAATTCCTTTGTGTGAGTATATGAGTACCAATATTATTTTTGTATTGGTGAAGGACAAAGGTGCTGTAGTTCTTGAAACATTTCATAATTGAAATGATACACTGTACAATGAAATAACAAGAATATGTCTGGGAAAATATTGAGGCCATACAGTGGGATTGAACTTGCATCCCTGGATGCCCCCATGCTAGTGCATGTGCCTGGCATGTCCAAGGATGCAGGGTTCGGTCCCATCATACAGCCTCAGTATTTTCTCATACATTGTATTTGAAATGGCCGGGTGCATTTAAAATCTCTTATTTTCCTGGAGAAGAAGAATTATAATTTAAAGATTTCCTAATGCACAGGACTGACACAGAAGCTGAATTAAATCTTGTGAAGGAGCTTGCAATTGGTGCGGGTGCTGTTGATGCTGTCATTTGCAACCATTGGGCCAAGGGAGGAGCTGGAGCTGTCAGGCTGGCTGAAGCTGTTGTTGCTGCTTCAAACCAGCCTTCAGATTTCAAGTAGGAACTTTGATTTGCAAGATTGAGTGCATTTGAGGTTTATCAGAAACTAAAAGAATGATTTAAAGTGGCATTTCTGATACTATATGTGCATTTTGTTATTTTTATGTTGTAAAGAAATGACCCATTAGCAAACACTCTTGAGAACTATGCAAAAAGCTCTTTATGTGCTTTAGTTCTTTATCATCTGCAGCTTTTTTAGTATAATTTGAATTAATCTTGTGGGCATTTGTGACCATTTTATTGTGCACAAAGATTTCATTCTTTAAATCTTGTAATAATGTCTAATAGTATGAAAATGGAAATTGTAGTAAGATTCTGCGTGACAGTGAATACATGAGACCACATGTCTAATAAAATTTAATTAAATGAACATGAAATAAAAGCCAATTTGCCGAGTAATGTGGAATAACGTTGATAAAATATTGAAATAGTTACTTATCAAGGTAAAAGAAGAGTGAGTGCTGCTGTAGACAATTTATTATTTTCAGTGGTGCTGGTTCTCAATGTTGGAAGAAATGATGAACTGATAGATGATAATTTTTAATCTATAGTAATTGAAAACATTTGCAATTTTATTTTTAAGCTTTTGTATATGCTCAATGTATTGTTCAAATTAACTTTGAAATAATTGATACTCCTGTTTTTATTTGTTCAGGTTTCTGTATAATTTGACTTCATCCATTGAAGATAAAATACGTACCATTGCCCAAAAGATATATGGAGCTGATGATATAGAAATCCAACCCGAGGCACAAGAGCAGATAAACAGATACAAAAAACAGGTCAGTGTGACACCATATATACACTATTTAATCCGTCTTAGTTTCCTGCAAGTGAACCTCGATCTTGTGAAAATTGTTACAGTATTTTAGAATCCAGTAACATGTTTCCCCCACACTGTTTCTACATATATACTGTACTAGCTTTTGAATACATCATTGTTAAAGTTTGCAGATATACTAATACAATAATACTTTAAATATGCACTGTACTGTTTTGCTCTATTTATGACAGCTTAGATAAAGAATTTAAGTCACCATTGCAAAAGTCATAGATGAAACTTCCATATTTTATTTGACTTTAAACTGTGTACCTGCATTTCAGGGTTTCAATGACCTTCCTATATGCATGGCCAAGACTCACTTGTCGTTAACCTCTGATCCAAGTAAGAAGGGAGCACCTACGGGCTTCACCATTCCTGTAAGGGATGTTCGAGCTTCAGTTGGAGCTGGCTTTATTTACCCTCTTGTGGGAACGGTAAGGAAAACCTATTTTGTCTTTGTTAATTAACACTGTAATGAGTTGCATGACCATGAAGAACCATGGTTAAAACAATCCTTTGTAATCTGTTAAGTTTTGTTGGAACATTGGATGGTTATTGCAGTGTAGGTTGTGCAAGCTGATTATATTTGTTACTGCATGCTTTGTTAAGTCTACTAAATACTCGGGGTATCTTTGATAATACATTCAGCCTTTACCTCGTATGCCATTACATGCCAGAATATAGAACCTTACCTGTGCAAGTATGCCTAAAGTTTTACTTAAACATTTTAAGTTTGCATTGTTGCTTATTATGTACTTGTCTTGTATTTGATTAGTACACTGGGCAGGCTGTTAATATGGTTTGCTGATATAATCATGAAATATTGCATTAATGATTTTGAATTGCTTTACCTGAAATATTTATTCGTTTATCAGGGTTACAAATTTTCAATACTTTTCATTATTGTTCTTCAAAAAAATTAAATTGAAGGAATGAAAGAATTGGCATAATATTTTTTGCTCAAAGTAATATTAAAATGTCATGGCCCTGGAGTTAACGTGCAATATAGACATTGACTTTGACTAAACTGTTGAAATGTTCATAGAACAAGCTATGCTTACTATTAACAAAATAAATGAAAGGGGAGGAAACATAACTGGTTAGGCCAAAGGACTGAAACGTAACCAGTACATGGGCATTATTATTTTTATTTATTTATTTTATTAATGTCTTGGTAGAATAGAGTATTAACCATTGTACTTTGCAAATTGTGATATTGGGGGTGAAGGTGGTGTGCCGCCGAACATACAGTGTTTGTTAGTGCAGTACATATATCGTAAAATTCAAAACTCCTGCAGGTATGTGGGGCTTGTATCTTGTTCCTCAGAACTCGAATAAACAGATGCCATCTTGAAAAAAGGTGGCCTCATGTTCCTTTAGAAAATAATCTTGTAGAAAACAATTCATATTCATGATTTAATGACAGGAATCTGATAATAGCAGTGTTGTAGTAATAATAGCGATGTGTGTAGCATATGTCTAGGTAATTTGTTCCGTCACTCGAAGTAATCGGCTAGTCATAGCATGTAGCTCTATACTGTGTTAAGATTTCATTACCCCACACACCAGAATTAATTAGTGGTTTGTTATAGTTTGTAAAATTATAAATATATACCTGTATATATAATGTGTGTATAGTGTAATAACGGCTAAAACAGTTTATTGATCTAACAGCATAATATACACTAGATATGAGGACCATATTTTTTAGCATAGCGATGTTACACACATTTAACTACATAAATGCCTAAAATTACACACAATGGAATAATATTACAGTAAAAACTATGTATAAAACCAATGAAATAATTATATCAAAATGTGTTTGCGATAACCCCCGCCACACTGCTGGGCTGAAGCGCACACCACCATTGGCAACCGCTCTCTCAATATATGAATATTGCCAGACTTTCTTCCCCCTTCATGGCCCCCTTCATGACCAAAGCATGTTACAACATATTTGTTTAATTTCCATGATCAGAGAAAGCATGTTAACAATATTAGAATAAAAAAAATTGTAGGACTAACTTTTTCTGCACACAGTGGACTTGTCATATTTAACCAAAGACAGTGAATGTATGTGAGAGCTGTAGGGTGGGGGTTTCCCACCATCCAGCTAGGCAGGTGCTGAGGAGTGGGGAGGCTGGCTGGCCAGGGCGTGGAGGGTGGGCTTGTGACTGTGAAGTGGGGTGGTTTAATAGCGGCGCAGCACAGTGGTTAATGCCCTGTGATCCTGAAGATTTTTTTTTTAGGTTAGTATAATACTCGGTATAGTTGACAAAACTATGTTCCATTAAAACAAAATACTGTATTTGTAGAGTACTAAATAAATGAGAGAATTAGATAGCTTTATTGAGGATGAAGTGTGGGCTGGAGAGTGGATAATAAGAAACGAGTATGAGGACATGTTAGAGATAAAGGCGTTTTGATTATACTGTATGATGAAAATGATGCTTTTAAGAAGTGGGGTATTGCCAGTTAGTCTTCCAAGAGATACCATATGTAATGTGCATCATTACATCGTTCATAATGTGCAACTCTTAATCTTAAGTTGCTATACTTTCCTATGGTAATGAAATTTAGTTATTTCAACTTATTTAGTTTAAAGTAGAGTCTTTTGGTATATATGAGTTTTTGTGACCATTAATGCATGGTGAAAGATGCTTGAATGGTTGCTAATTCTTCCAATTAATTTAGTTCACTTTATTTTCTTAATTAACTGATGAATTACATAATGGGTATATACATGGTTACTTTAAGTAGCAGGCTTGATTGTATATTTTGTAATTTCTTGTAGTTATTTTTAGATTAGGTTTTGTCAGTTTTAAGCATGATTGTTACCTCGTAGAAGGAGTCAGGTCAAGTCCCGCGTCCACCTTCGCTGGCTCGTGGCTTACACTGGCTGCGACGCCTCACACCAAAGTGAGGCCCAAGTTGAGATGTGAGGTGAGTTTTGATTTCTGAATAAAAGTGCTAATTACAAGCACTGTTGTGGATGCTAATTAAATAAGCAATTAAGTATTGGCACAAGAGTTTTTAATTAAATTAATCATAACTACTACTGCTTATATAGGGTAAATCAAAGGTTCAGGGGGCACAAAAATAAAAATACTGAAACAAATGACTGGTCATACAAATTTGGAAATCTAGTGAAATAAGTTCCTCATACACTTTATAGTTAAATATAACTTGAACAAATCTGCATTTCTAAAATATTTTAAGCCATTTAATTTTGTGCATCTATTTTTGCATCAAAGGAACCTGAATGCTGTATCTGGTGCTTTTATAATCCATTCTGTTTAGTCTTGGTTTAATGTTGTCCATTTAACCCTTTTGCCGTGGGAAAACATGTGCAGCTGTTTGGCAGATTATGGCCAATTTTGCAAAATTTCCCCTAGGTCTAGAAACAGTATCAAGACAGTATCTATACTTGCCCTACAGTATCTAGAAAAAAGTTTCAAAGTCCTATAAAGTTTGTCCAGAGCCCCTAGCAGTCAAAATAGGAATTTGTATTTAATACAGTACATTAAAAATTGGTAATGCCCATAGCTAGATATTAAGTGACAATGAACCAATTTTATAATTTATAATAACCAACAAAAATTAATGAATTTTAGCTTTGAAAACACTTAATATTCTTTCATTGTATCTAGAAGGAGCATTGCCTTAGCATTTATATATATTCCATCTTATTGTTTGACTTGTTATAGAGTTGGTTACATCATATTTTAATAGAAAATCCTAAATTATTTTTTCCAGTATTTATAATTGTGTAGATGGAATAAGCAGATCTTTTAAGTATAAATGCTTTAAAAATCCAAAACAAATATTTATGGTTTTCTACCCCTTAACGGAGAACAAACCCCCCCCATCCCTGGTGGGTGCCGCAATGAAAGAGTCAAGTCAGTTTTACGGCCACTCGTAAATTTGATTTTACACCGTCCGTCTATGCAGTTTACTTTAGCCTTCCATTGTTTTAGTCCATTGCTTTGCTAACTCCTGTATCCATTCCAAGTGGATAGGCTTCCATTTGTTGCTTACAGCTAGCATTCTTGCCCTTTCATTGTTGCAGTTGTTCATTCGTATAATGCTCCATCGGTAATCTGCAGTAATTTTCACTTTGCGCACGTTGGTCAGCAGCCAACATTTCTATACAGTCTTGTGCACATTTGATTTTCTTGAAGCTGTTGGCTCAAAGTTGGCATGTAGGTATTGCATTAAAGCTTGTCAGTGGTATGTGTTTATAAAAACAATTAGGTGATCAGTTTTAGCTGTTTTAATACTCTTGGAGGTATAAATAACTGTTTAAAGGTTATTTTAGCCATCGTATCATTTCCTTATGTCTTGAGCACTTTATGTAGAGAGATCTTTGACAGCACCATTATTATTCACCTTTGTTTAGTTTATTTGCTTCTTTTTCTTTATTTTAAAGTGTCATTCTTCTCTGCTTATTTTGTTATCTTGCGCATGCTGGTGCATAAACACAAAAATCACAATGGAAAATTTACTTGGTGTACCTAGAGCTCAAAACTGGTGGGGGAAAAAACAAACAAACTTGCAGCAACATAAAGTTCAGGTAAGTATCTTGTTTCCTTAATTTTCACCTTTCAGATTTGCACACCTTGAGGGTGGTAGCTCATTCTGGTATGTAGATGGTTATTACTCTCATTTGAATATCATTGATTGTGTAACTGTACACAATGCTTATCTAAAGTATATATATTGAAATTTTAAATGTCATTCCCTGTATTTGCTAGCTTTTCAAATAATGAAAGTAGGGCATTGAGGGAAATGAAGTGCACTCATTAAATGAAATTAAATGAACGTGTGTGTGTGTGAGAATCTTGTAGTTGGAGAAAGGAAGATGTAGCGAGTCTAACTTCAGCTATCACCGAGAGACCAACTTGCTTAACTTGCACAGGTTAAATTTATTTATTATTTTCCAAAATAAATTTTCAAACTGTCTAGATTAGTAAATGAGTCATTAGATGCTGCCGGCAGAATTTGTGGAACAATGCAGGCTGCGATCTCCTAATGACCAAGGGGGCCTTGACTAAAATAAATTGAGCTTATGCTATTGGCATTAGCCTTGCATGTGCATGAAATGTATTTATAATGGCTGTCCATTCATTTACTTTATTTCCCATGCATGAATGAATGATTTAAATTTGCTTCAGTGGTAATAATTTTAATTTATTCTGATTTCTTTGGTAAAGGTTAGTATGGTGCAGTAAATATTTTCACTAGGTAGGGGGCTAGTTAACTTGGTGTATTTGTGCTTCGGCACAAATCACTATTTAGATAAATTAATTGCCTAAAGATTTGATACAATCATTGGTAGAGTTGATATACTAGTATATCTGAATATTTGCATAAAATTTTAGGAATTGTACAGTAAAATTCTTTAATTTGTGACTTTTATTTTTTTAATAATCAATAGTAATGTTTCTATACTTAAATAAAATGCATGCGAGCTCTCACTTGCACACACCGTGCACAATAAACAAAGTAGATCAATTGGCATGGTAGAGCTCTGCAATTTCAGATGTTAAGTTTTAACGTTTGACATTTCAATCCTCAGATGAGTACAATGCCAGGTTTGCCCACGCGTCCCTGCATTTATGATATCGACCTCGACTTGGAGAAGGAATTGGTACAAGGGTTATTTTAAAGAATTTTGCAATATTTTTCCCCTAAGTGCTTTGTGACCATAATTGGTTAGAAGAGGCTGTGTACGTTGCCTAGCAGCTTATATGATGCTGTGTATTGTTGCTCATCTTGCTTATAAGGGCTGTCTTGTTGCTCATCTTGCCAATAGGTAAAGTGTGATTTATATTTTGGCAACTGGGATGGGTTTGTTATTAATTGAAGTGTGAAGGATGGGTTAGGGGGAAGAGTTAACCTGTTCCTGGCCACATGAAATTTGTTGTGTAATATTTTTTAGTTATACTGTATATCTAGAAATTGTGGTTCCATAAATGTAGTTTTGAGTATACAGTATTTTAAATTTTGGGGAATATACATGAATTTGTTACATATTTTTGTAAAATTGTTAAATACATTAATAAAGAAAGTATTCAGCATGTATTCTTTCATACCTTATTCATCAGCAAAGGTAGACTAAAGTTTTGTAGTCTGTATTTGTACTGTAAAGTATTCTGATTTTTTTTTTAGACCCCAATTTTTATCCAATTTATTTTACTCTTCTGTCTAGTTAGGTAAATTTTAACAAAGAAATGTAGACAAAATGGCATAAAGTTTGCCCATTCCCTGCAGCACCTATTTCTTAAGCTCCCACTGTTCCTTTGAGTTGTCTCTTGATAAAGTAACATCTCTTGTTATTTCTTCGTGTCTTGTATTGACATACTGAATAATACCTAATAACTGGCAGTACTCTTAGTAGGCCAGAAAGTACTTACTGCCAGTGTTGGAATGTGCAGACTCTTTATGAAGGGGCTGAGCAAAGGTGCTGACAACCACATTGGATATGGCACTATTTCCCCCCTCCCCCTGTAATACATACGTCATACACAGCCATTATTTCAACATTGTGATGAAAACTGATACTTTAAAGCACCAGCTTGTAACACTTGTAAATGAATTATGGCCACATGAGGATTTATGCTTACACAGATGGCTCTGTGTTTTACTGTCAACTTATGTTGTAACACTGTGTAATTATATAGAAACAAAAGGTGGACACAGACTATTCTAATGCACTGAAATTATAGGACTTTTTTTTTTTTCATCATTCAAGGACTTGAAAATCCAACTTACATAATAGGAATATGGTGGTTATAATTGCTGGTTATAATTATATATATATATAATTGCTGTGCAGTCAGAATTTTCTTGTATGCATACTGTCTCTGGTATTAATCATAACAGGTAAGTCGGCTCAAGCTGCATGTAATATATGAAATTGTACCTATCCCAGCTTGTCCTTATATCCCTTTCATGTGCTGTATAGTCATACTGCTTTATCAATTTCTTCATATAATATACCTGACCTGGATATCGTAGTCTTTGTTAAACCACACCATTTCAAAAACCTTGTCTCAACAAAACCACAAACACCTAAATGGCAGAAAATGGCTGGTATGTAAAGCTGTAATGTGTTAAGAACATGACTATGCACAGAGCACAAGTTCAAGTATGTTTATCGAGACAAGAAAACATACATCTCAAAGGGATAGAGTAGCTTAGGCTATTTCTACCCTCCCTAACAAAGCATCCACCAAGAAGTGTAGCATAGTAATAGTCAGAATTAGGTTGTAGTATCACTACTAATTGCTGGTGAAAAAAAATTCTCAACTCAGTACAGTAATTGTAAATTTGTAGAAAAAGAACTTGATACTATTCAACATTATAATTTCCATATCTGGTGTCAGGGACAGGAAGCCTGTATCAAGGTCTCCTTTAGGTCGAGCTACCTTCCTTCCCGAGGATGCAACTGATAAAAGTTGTCGACTCCTAGGTACCTATTTACTGCTAGGTGAACAGTCACATCAGATGCAAGGACATGTACCCAGTCATTTCTGTCCCACCCGGTAGTCTAAAATCTGAGCCTGAACAATGCTATGTTATAGGGTCATCACACGCCTTTTGCATACCATGTGTAAATACCATATTTTATCTGCTGGTTAGGATAGGACAGGTTGGGTTCAGTTTATTTAGTGGTGAAAATTTTGCCCGGGAATCAAATGAGGTGCACAATTAAGAGAGCAGACCGACTCCAAGTCAAACTCCAGATGGGACATAATGATAAAGAACCACCACTGAAGCAAGAGAAGAGATCAGAGAGCAGATATAAGACAAAGTATTACCACAGAGAAACATAAATATTATAATATCAGAGGTATCTCTTCTTGAGGTTATCTTGAGATGAGTTCGGGGCTTTAGTGTCCCGCGGCCCGGTCCTCGATCAGGTCTCCACCCCCCAGGAAGCAGCCCGTGACAGCTGACTAACACCCAGGTACCTATTTTACTGCTAGGTAACAGGGGCATAGGGTAAAAGAAACTCTGCCCATTGTTTCTCGCCGGCGCCTGGGATCGAACCCAGGACCACAGGATCACAAGCCCAGCGTGCTGTCCGCTCGGCCGACCGGCTCCCACCGGTGACCGACTGCAACAGACTGCACGGTGATGCAGTCTCCACGCGATAGTCATTTGTTGACCTACACAACATTCTTCAGATTGTCCAGATAATCTCCCGTACGATGAGATAATGACTTGCAAGACCGGAGTTACCCGTTCTCTCGCTTATTACGTCCCATATTTTTTTTTACGGAAGCGGCCCAAACCGTAAAAAATGCAACGTATTAACAATAATATATATATTACCGTAATTTTGACGTTTTTGTTTTCTACGAATAGATCTCGATAACGTTAAGTGGGTTACCCGGGCTTATAGCTTTTTGGTTACGCAAAACAATTGTATTTTTTTTGTACGAAGTGGCAATTAGGCATATAGTGCTGACCACGAGTGATGAGAACTAGGGGGTTGGGGGTGATCAATGGAGAACTAGGGGGGTTGGGGGTGATTAATAGAGAACTAGGCTGGGGAGAGGGGATCAATGGAGAACTAGGGGGTGGGGGGCGATCACTGGACGCACAGGCATGACGTACAACCCGCCAGCCGTGTCTAACGACCGGGTAATGGCGCCTTGCCTTACGGTCACAATAGTTGGCATTCATTCACATAACGGGTATGTACACGCGGGTTTTACTGTTGGTGGCGGCTGTGTTATCGTCGACCTGGTACTGTCCTGTGAGCGGTAGTTTACTGTATACCATACTCGTCCTGTGAGCAGTGGTTTATGGTGCACCTCTTTGACCCATGTGATAATGGCCGCTACCCCTCTCCTCTTGTTCTGAAACGTCTTTACCCTTGACAATTGTTCTTCGTACTGGGAAGGGTCGAAGTTTTCCGACGGTGTTGGCTATTCTATCTTTCTAGACCAACCCTACAAGTGCCGCTACCTCCCCTGGCTAGCGTCTTCACACAGCTGAACTGTAAGCTATCTTGTATGTCCTGTGTCGATTGTGTTTATGTCGTCAGCGCTCCATGGTCATCGTGATTGACTCTCGAAGTGCTCTCGTGGCTTTGGAGTCATTTAACCCAATACATCCTGTGGTAGAAATCCAATATTGGTTGTTTCTCCTCTCTATCAGAATTAAGCAGGTGGAGTTTTGCTAGGTTACCAGCCATATTGGCATTTCCTTAAATGAGCGTGCGGATGTTGTCGCTAAGGAGACTATACCCTGGAAACACAAACCGAAACTGTCTCTATTTTCCGCTTGTTACAACTTGTAATAAAGTTGTTACATTTTGGCTTAACGTGTTTATGACGTATTAGAACGTTGTTACAACTTGCTATATTGGTTGTTATAACTGGTTAGGAAGTGTTAAAACTTGTTCGAACGTTGTACCAACGTCGTAGTTTCGGTGTGTGTTTGGCGGGTAGGTACTTATCCCATTTCCCTCAGAGGTGTTCCTTATTCCGACTTCTACCCAGTTATTCATTCCTCAATCTTTGCCCGTTGGCAGGGTCGTTGGTCTTGTGTTACTGGTAACAAACTGTGTGTTCCTAAGGGTAGTGTCTCTCCACCACCGTTACCGGCGGTGGGAAACGGCTCTGGCTAGGTTACTGGCCATACGCGTTTAACTCACGGGCACTTAATGAAGCACCGCTCCTTGTTGTCCAAACCGCATTTCCCCTCTTAAGGTCGTGCAGAATTCTTGTTGAATGTCCGGACTTCCAAGACGTGCATGCGTCTTGCTTCCCGACTGACCCTCGCGGTCACCTGACCCTCGATAGAATCCTTGGTGAATCTGATACCTTGCGGGGGCCACTACCGCCCACGGGATGGGTGTGGGGCCCACTACCGCCCACGGGATGGGTGTGGGGCCCACTACCGCCCACGGGATGGGTGTGGGGCCCACTACCGCCCACGGGATGGGTGTGGGGCCCACTACCACCCACGGGATGGGTGTGGGTCCCACTACCACCCACGGGATGGGTGTGGGGCCTACTACCGCCCACGGGATGGGTCAGAACACCTTAGCAAAACATGGAACTTCGAGTACAGCCTAAATAAAATTCCGTCGATAACGGACCTGTCTGGACTGTGCGAACGTTTAAGTGATGGTTTCCATTGTTGTCGAGGGATTATGCAGTTAGCAAGCCCTCGGGTAACTGGCCATTGCATGTTTGAGATTATCAACTGTCAGTCAACTGGTGTACAGATTCCTGAGCCTACTGGGCTCTTATCATATCTACATTTGAAACCGTGTATGGCGTCAGCCTCCGTCCTCCAGGTAGCGGAGGCTACCTGGAGGCTTGTGTACTTACCTAGACACTGTTGTGTGGTTCCCTCGGGAGGACGCTACCTGGAGATCTCTTCTCCAGATCTTTGACAATGACGGAACGCTAATTGTATGTCATTGCGGGACGGAGCCATTAAATAATTATCCGGTAACGAGAGAAGATTGGAGTATATGAAGGGACTGTGGCCGGTGTCCTCCTGTAGTGTCCGTCCAGCTCATGTCCGTAGAGCTTCTGGGGGGATCTCGTACCCATTTCTGGGGGGATCTTGTGTTACTGGGAGAGTGCTACGGACGGATGGGTGCAAGGACCGCCGCACACGAGAGTAACATTGTGCTAACTACGAACGCAAACGCAACAAGGCTCCCTTTCCCTGCAAACATCAAGGCCCCCTCCACACGCGTCAAGACAGTGTCTTTCACCCCCGCAGACGTCAAGAAAGTGACTTCCTACCCCGCAGACGTCAAGAAAGTGACTTCCTCCCCCGCACACGTCAAGAGAGTTCACTACTATGGTCAAGCTTCTGCAGGCTGTGCTGGTGACGTCGAGTATGAGCGTGGTGATGGCGGCGCTGGCCGCGTTGCCCGAGGGCGACCAGTTGGATACGCCAGAGTGGCTGCAGAATGTGCCCGAGGGAAGTAAGGTCGCTAAATATCGCAAGAGACGCTTCCTTATCTTCCCATTGGGAAGTTTACTCGGGGTAAGCCGTTGTCGCCACCATCTTGTCCATTATTTACACCGAAGAAATGATTGCCATTCTTATTTACTACTAATTACAACTATAATAACCATGAGAGAAAAAATGCCTTTTTAAATTAAAAGGATTAAATTTAAAAGTATGTTGACCAGACCACACAATAGAAGGTGAAGGGACGACGACGTTTCGGTCCGTCCTGGACCATTCTCAAGTTGATTGTGACAACGTCGTCGTCCCTTCACCTTCTAGTGTGTGGTCTAGTCAACATACTTTAGCCACATTATTGTGACTCATCGCCTGCATTTAAAAGTATTTTTAAATTTGGATAGGAAAACAACATATTCTTTACATTTATAAGTTCCAACTACTTCGATTGGTTGGTACAGCGACTGCATTGCTTCATGCATAAGGTCAGCATTCCATTCCCGATGGTCGAAGTGATTGAGCAGCACTCGCCATCCCAACCACTTGGGCTGGACGGTAGAGCGACGGTCTCGCGTCATGCAAGTCGGCGTTCAATCCTCGACCGTCCATCGGGTTCAATCCCCTGACCCGGAGACCCCCAATCCAATCAGGGTTCAATTCCCTGACCCCGAGATGGTCAGCTACCATCTGCGAGGTCGCTGACCATCCCTTCCAGCACGGTCTCCTCGGGGAGGTCGCCACAAGTGGTTGGGTACCATTCCTTCCCTCCGTCCCATCCCAAATCCTTATCCTGACCCCTTCCAAGTGCTATATAGTCGCAATGGCTTGGCGCCTTCTCCTGATAGTTCCCTTCCATCCTCGTATCCCAGCTCTTACTCTGTCTTCGTCTCCCTTCAAAGTAATATAGAATTATAGTGACACTACTCCTAGTTACCGATAATGGCCTAAACCAATCAATGTGCCCCCGTACAGTGACATCGCGAGAACGTAGTGAACCAGTGATACAGTATTGAGGTACACAGAAATAACAATAGCGTGATATATCAAATGAATAAATCCACAATTCATAATTAGGGTCTGGTAGCTGAGTGGACAGCGCGCAGGACTCTTAATTCTGTGGCCCGGGTTCGATTCCCGGACCAGGCAGAAACAAATGGGCAAAGTTTCTTTCACCCTGATGCCCCCTGCTTGTTGACAGAGCCCGAGTGCATGGGGGAATTGTGTAAAAACCCCGGTTTGTGTCTCTGAGAGACTGTGGGATCCGTGTGAGAGCAGTAGCAATTCCGGTTGCAATTCTTTTGACCGTGTCGTGACTCAGTCGATTAAGGCACGTCTGGGATCATCCTGGACGTAAGTTCGAACCCTCATCACGGCCCTTGTGAATTTATTCACAATATTGAGGTCATTCAATGGGATCGAACCCTCCGTCCTAGACTCTCCCAAGGCACACGTACCTTCTCATGGTCCATTCGGTGGTGCATGTGTCTGGGAAAGTCTAGGGACGCGAGTTCGGTCTTAAAATTTCCTTCCCGGCAAGACGTCAAAAGATGTCCGGCGGGAAGAGCTTGTAGTAATTTCTCAGCGAATTCCTCTTAGACTGTGTACCGTGTAATTACCTAAGTGTAATTACCTAAGTGTAGTTATAGGATGAGAGCTACGCTCGTGGTGTCCCGTCTTCCCAGCACTCTTTGTCATATAACGCTTTGAAATTACTGACGGTTTTGGCCTCCACCACCTTCTCACCTAACTTGTTCCAACCGTGATCCTTCATCTGTCATCCTTCACTGGTGTTACCTAGTCCCCCCGGGCTTGGTGTCTTCTCTTGATCACTACTTCCTCCACAGGTACAAACTAATCTCCGACTGCCTCTGCCCGGAGTCGGGTACCTCAGCAACCTGGCACTCCAGAGCTCAATGCTCTTTAACCTCAACAACTCCACCACCATCAGTTTTGGACGATCGTTGCAGGCTTTGGAGCAGCGCTTTGACTTCTACCGTGAAATTGAAATGCTTCTTGACAGGTAGGGGAGGGGACGGGGTGCATGCGTATCTTTAAAGTTTTATTATAAATATTTTTTTGTTTATATATACAAGAGTGGTTACATTCTTGTACAACCACTAATACGCGTAGCGTTTCGGGCAAATACCGAAAAACATAGGAACATAATCCTATGTTCCTTGGAATTATTATTATTATAATCATTACTATTACTGATAATAAATCCGAACTGTTATTGTTTTTTTTCGGCTTGGTGCTTTCATTTGTTACCACAATATTAACTGTCAGGTATACTCTCATATACTATACTTGATTACCCTGAGACGGTAGTTGTACCCACATGTTCAAGTTCAAGTTCAAGTATGTTTATTGAGATAAGCAATAAATACATCTCAAAGGGATAGAGTAGCTTAGGCTGTTTCTACCCCCCTCTACTTCAAGTCCCTCAAGGGGCGCACAAATGCAGTGAGTACAAATAGACAAATAACATTACAAGAATCCCATTTAACATTGCTACCCACATGTAACCTCTCCTCCGCGTTGACCTGACCAGCCTGGGCTACAACGGTCACGAATGCACGCTCAGGACCATCTGCGAGGTCGCTGACCTGCCCTTCCAGCACGGGCTCCTCGGGGAGGTCGCCAACTTAATTTTATCGTGAGTACCAATGCAAGTGCTTCTCTTGTTTTCACTCACACGTTTACGTGTAACTCAGTCGTCACTTCGACCGTCAATGAGGTACTTTGGCCTCTCTCTCTTGCCTCTCTACGACCTGTCACTTTTGGTGTCTCTTTCAGCTCTGTGTTCTTAAAGATAAATGTGGATTTTTACTTAGTGCTTCTATTCTGATTGTACTTTCCATTATGAAAAATTTGCTTAAGAACTCTTAGCTTATTCTTATTCCATAGCTTATTCTCTGCTTATTTATAGAATTCTTAAGCTGAAAATTAATTATATTAACGTTTAAATTGGCTTAAGATTGAATGTGACACTGTGAGAGTAAGGAACATTTCGGGGATGTGAATCAGCGACCAATCGAAGGTCCCGGATCTCCCCGCGCGTACCGTAGGATATCATCCGATATCCTACGGTACTTAGCCCACTTAGAATTCTAGAAAGTAATGCCGAGCTCTCCATTTTGAGTATCTTATCACTTCTTTGTAAGTCTACGGAGGAAATTTTACTTTAGTTTTGTTCCTTTTCAAGCAAGGTCGCCACATGTTGCTCCTTTTAAAGTGCGGGAACTAAGGCTTATGTTTTGATTGTGATTTCGTTTTCCAGGATAAGCGCCGCAGCGCTCAACGAGGTGGAGAGCGACCTAGACAACGAGTACGCTGCGGCTGAGCATTATGGTCGCCACCACGGGTCCTGTCACTCCATCTACTCCCAGTGTCCCGTCTCCTTCGCCGACTTTTTTACCACGATTACTCCGGTCTACTAGAGTAAGGCCACAACCTTCCTTCAGGGTGGTCCACTGGTCTAATGACGGCCTGGTTGGTCACTTCTGCTCATAGTATTCCAGTGAGTGCACACCCTCCCTCTTCCCTTACCTCGCCTCCCCCTCTCCCCTCCTCTTCCTCCCTCTCTCTCTCTCTCTCTCTCTCTCTCCCCTTCCCTTCCCCCCTCTCTCTCTCCCTTCCCCTCCTCCCCCCCTACATTGAGGATGGGATAGATGAGGTAAACACTGAACAAGCGGCAACTTTACCTGTAAATATTTTGAATAAAATTTTAACATTCATACCTATCGTTTTTATTTTGGTACAATCACACGTTTTAGATCCCCGTTGTCCAGAACCAATACACTCCACAACCTGAGGACCTTCTTCAGCTCTTCTCTCCAAAATCACTTATCCAGAAGCAAGCAAATAATCCAAGCGCCAAGATGAATTCGAACCCTGCCTTACCTTTGCCTAAGTAAACAGTTATCAAAAGAAGGCACTTAGCCTGCAATAATATTTAACCCCGTCTCTGGCGCAGAACGGTTAAAGTCTGTTATATCATTCGATATGTTGACAAGACGAGTGATGTCAAAAGGGTCCCGCAGTACCAGTAAAAATTCTGTCCTAAAAGGAAGCTTGTCGAGCTTTTGATTGTTGCCGCTGGAGGCGGCTAGTTTATTGTGCACCCCATACTCGTCCTGCGAGCGGTAGCGCAAAGAAGCATTGCAGACGGCACAAAAAGGTTTTTATCAGACCTCAATGGATTATTACATAAACAATTTCATCTACGAGCTTGGAGCTGTTACCCGGGCTTGTATGCATTTGACCTTTTAAAATTATCTGGAATAACATTTTCAAATTTGTTCAGTATTTTAAAACTAAGGATGAAATCAGCTTTTCATGTCTGGTGTTAGTTCTGATTTCGCCTAATTTTGCTTGCGGAGGTCGAGCTTCAGCTCTGGTTCCACTTCTCAACTGTCTATCAACTGGTGTGCAAATTCCTGTGCCCATCCTACGTGGGTAATAATGTTTCATTCACTTGGATCGTCCATGGCCTAGTCAGTAGGACAAAAATCTTGTACTTTTAAGGTCCGAGTTCGAATCTCCGATGATCAAAATGAATGAAAAAAAAAGCCCAAGTTCGACAGTCCTGATTAAATACAACACGACTCGTATCGGTTTCCTCTGACTCCAGAGAGAATGGATTCTCCCCCCGCGGTCAGGCAACTTCAGCGTGCAGCCAGAAGATCCTGGCCACTTTGTGAGCCGTCGACCCTCTGGTCGACGGCTCTGGTCGACGCCTCCGGTCGTCGGCTCACCCTCTACCTCCGCGAAGCCAAGGGAACCCACCAGAGCCATGTATGACCTTGTGTTTAGAAGAGCCTAATACGAAAACCCAAATTGTGCTTTTTTTCCCCCACACCAAGCGCTTAAACATGTCTGTGTTCAGGAAATGAAACTTGTAACTACACGTAAAAGCAATCTATGAAGCAATACGAAGTTTACTCTCGAGAGATGTTACATCAGAGAGAAAAGTCATGATGTTCGCACCTGTCGTCATATACGCACCAAGAGGTGCCCTCTGTGTGCATGCGCTCGAGTTTACTTACCAAATCAAAGCACGCATCACCAGTCGCCTACGAGACATGACGGAGAGTGGAAGTACGCTCCCTTTGTCGCATCCTGAACGACATGGCACTCTTGGCTGCCACCTTCATGTTGAGTCTAGCACTGCTGTCAGAGGTGTTGACCTCGCGTTCTTGGCAGCCTTGTGTGCCTTACGCTCATCACCAGGTCAACAATGTGTTCAAGACACTGCTGCCTACCACCTTCGGCGTCAGCATCACACGTCAGGACTGGTCCGCTGATTTCATCATCAAAGGTCCTAACTCTGAATGGCGTTTGGGTCTTCGACTTGACTACAAGAACAAGAACAAACTAATGGTCACACTGCACACAGGCGAAAAGTTAATTAAATCGAACTCTTGGCCCGCCGAAGTTTTTTCTGTTGCTAATTGGACTGATATTGACCTTAGGTTGACGAATGAGAGCGTCCTGGAGGCTACCACCAGTCACCAGAACCATAGTTACACTATCAGCTCTGGCGTGAGGGAGGGGTGTAGGCAGTTCGAGGTGCTCGTGTACCAGCTCACAACGGCCCGGCTGGTCTGGGAATGTCCCCGACGCTGCATTGGTCAACAAGTGATGCAAGATAATTCCATTGTGTACTTAAACGGCAAGAACAACACGCTTTTCATGCTACCCCAAGACCATTTCCAGCTAAACCTTTCCGTAGTGATTAAAAATTGTGTTTTCAAAGAGGAAAATTTAGATATGGAAGTCGTTACCCAAGAAAATTTGAACTTAAAGGCTGAAGTGTGGAACGAGGTGTCCATTTATTACATAGAAAAAGAGTTCCATGGGGGTTGCATTCGCGTGAGAGGAGGCCCAGACTCCTGCTTCTTCACCAGCAAAAAAGTCTTCAAAAACTGCAATGTTTCGTTCGTCAGGTTTCGGCTGAGAACGAAGAAAGTATCCATGGGGTCCCTTAACTGTGGGAGAAATGAATACTTCAAGAATGACACTTGGAAGCAGTCTGAGAGCTGCGCCATCACCCCCACACACAACCCTCCCCCAGGAGTGATGGAGGACGCCCCTGGGAAGCCGTTACCGCCGTCCACGAGGAACCTACCCCCGTCCAGCACCACGGTGTCTCCCTCCTCGGTGGCGTGTACCACTCTGAGGCTCAACAGAGTGTGGGTAGTACTAGTGCTGGCTGGGGTGGCGGTGGCCTTCGTCCTCGGCACGAAGGCACTAGCGCTCACCGTCAGACTCGCAGCACAGTGAGGTCCTCCTTCACCAGTGCTTACCTTGCGGCGATTCCGGGGGTCAGGGTGCCTGGTCTCTGACCAGGTCTCCTCAGTGGCCTCCTGGTAGTATCTGTACTATCAACAAATACATCACCGACAAAGGAGTATTTAACTCAACGTTCTTAGAAATATTACTGCTGATGTGTCTTTTGGACACTTCACATAACTTTGTATTGAACGGTTTTAGAAAAAAAATCCACATTGAAATATTTGTTTTCCTAATAATGGTCACTTAAGTGACCATTATTTATTACATATTTTGTTGAAAACGACAAAGTTTTAGATTTATGATTCTGGCACGAATCTTCTCGATATTCCTTATCTTTTTCTTCACTGAAACAGGAAGTTGAAAAATTAACTCTCCAAAGTTAATTTTTACTTTTTATTTAGGTCTGACGCCTAGTGATGCGTTTCGTAAGGTCTCTCCTCACATTTTCAAAGACAAATTCTACTGTGTTAATATTGTTGTTTTAGATTCAGCTACAAAAAGTAGCACGGGCTATGGTGAACCCGTAAGTGGAGGCTCTTTGGAGCCATTATCTGTATCAATAGCTGATACTGGAGATCTGATACCCGGATCCAATTTCAGGGCGGGCGAGAAATGGTTGGGCAAGTTTCCTTTCATCTAATGCCTTTGTTCACCCAGCAGTAACTATAGGTATCCAGGAGCTGGGCTATTTTTTTTTTTTTGGGGGGGGGGAGTTTCATCCTGGGGAGGGCAATAGCTCCACCTTTGAGTGGACCTCGATACATGCCTACAGTATATAATATATAGAAACTTCCCGACCGACAAAAAAATGTGCAGGCGATGAGTCACAATAACGTGACTAAAGTAAGTTCACCAGACCACACACTAGAAGATGAAGGGACGACGACGTTTCGGTCGTCGGACCGAAGGGACCGAAACGTCGTCGTCCCTTCACCTTCTAGTGTGTGGTCTGGTCGACAAAACTTTTATTATTATGAAAGTAAACTGCATTACTTTTGCAACGAACAGGAAACTCATTTCAATACTAATTCATGTATAATAATACAGAGGATCAGATTACAGGGGTTACTTAGCAGGTCCAGCTGTGTGTGAGTATACTTCATGTAGCGTGTACGTGCAGCGTCTCGGGTATAACCTAAGTTTAATTACATCTTAAGTGTATATCTCAAGATGTAATTAATATATTTTCGCTATACTGTGCTTAAACAGTATCAAAGTTTACTTTTCAAATTATTTAAGATATTGTTTACAATTGTCTGAAGCCTGTTAGGCTTATCGAGTCCACTTATAGGACTTTGACCAACGACTGACCTCACCCAGGATACAACCCATAACAGTTGCCTAACTCCCAGGTACCCATTTGCTGCTAGGTGAACAGAGGTATCAGGTGGGTGAAAGGAAACGTACTCAAACGTCTCGTCTTGCGCGGGAATCGAATTCGGGATATGGATCCCGAAGGGGGTTAGAAATAGCCTAAGCTACTCTATCCCTTTGAGATGTATTTATTGCTTATCTCAATAAACATACTTGAACTTGAACTTGGGATATGGATCATTTCCAGCCCCAAGGTGCCAGCATCTGCATTAAGGCAATATCATAAGAGAAAATTATTTAATTATTTATTCACGAAAAATATATATTTCTAGATTTCCTGTTGATATAAAATTATTAATAAATGTTCCACGATGCTATATACGTTGTTTTATTTGCTCTAGCGCTCTTTGGCAACTCTCATACAGATAAAATTCAAAAAAAAAATTCAAATGTTTATTCAGGTAAAGTACATACATACAACAGGTTATACAAAAATTGATAGATTTATAGAGCTAGTACACACAATGCTAGTGTACAATGCTAGTACATACAATATAATATAATAACTAATACAAACATTATACAGGTATCGATATACAACATTGTCAAACCATTATACTTTCCTGGAGTCCGGGAAATCATACGTGTAAGGGGAACCATTCGTCGATATAAGTTAACTTAGCTAACTTGTTAACTTAACTCACCCACTCTTTGACTTTCGGTCTCCCAGAGGCCGTAGTCAGCAAACTACAGCCAGACATAAGCTTGGTCATTACGGGAGAAACAAACAAATTGGCAATAATTAGTTTCTTTCAGGAGTCAATTATTGTCAAATTGACAATAATTGACTCCTTTTGAAGATGTATTAATATACGAAAGTACTTAAGGAAATTCCTGTTTCAATTTTCCTCCGTGGTCTGACACTGTCACATTTTTAATCACGTGTTTATTTTCGTGATATACACACACATATATTATATATTATATATTATATATAT